AATTATATGGGTAGAAGAAAAAAAGTTGACAGCGAAAATATAAAAAATGATGAAATAAATGCTGTAAACAACTCGGAAATTAGTTTTAAAGAGATAAAAACGTGTGATAGAGATGTAGTAACTATATCCGAGACGCTTCCACCACAACCGACCATCTATAATAACACTCACTCCCCATCGAGCAATACGCTTCAGGCTACTCCAATTAGCCTGCTCGATTCCGCACTCCCTTCTTCCTGTCCCGATTCTTCTGCGTGTAGACCAGCCAACACAATGGAAAACCTCAATGTACCTGCCATTCCAGAAGGAAATCGACTGATGGTATTGCATTCAATACTTGACTCTGTCACAGCCGTAGAGCAGGAATGGCCTAGATCTGCTATTTCAGCGGTGCAAAAAAGGTTTGAGAGAATGCCTAGAAATGGCTGGTCTGCAATTCTTAGGTACTATAATGGGAAATTTGGTCGAACTGTTGATATCGATGTGTTAAAAAAATTAATACATAATGAGGCAGAAAGAGAAATAAGGCAAGAAGAGAATGGAGAGCGACGTAGAATCGCCACTTGTCTCGCCGAGCCATGTTCTTTAACTGACACCACACTCTATATGAACCTGAGAGAAAAGTTCTTGTGCAAAATCAAGGAAATCGGAGATGTAGTGGTCCGAACTAGAAAACTTCCAAGTGAATTGGTTGATAGTAAAGTTTTGGAACTCATAAATCGGATCACAGGTGAATATGCTGAATCCCATGTGCCTAAGAATGTTAGTGATGCAGCTCGAATCATCCAGGCGGCCCAGGTATGTTATGACGAGGAAACACGTAAGGAGAAACCTAGATCCGCTTGGAAGGAAAACATAGAATGTAAAATTTCTAAGTTAGTACTTTCCAAAGATCTCCTCGAGAAGGCTCGCAAGCAGGAAAAGCTCTCTACTTCGGAAACAAAAAGTCTCAGAAAAATTATGCGAGAGTTTAATTTAGACTTAAGCAAAATAAATGATCTCTCCGAGGCTTTGGTTAAGAAGAATGAGGCCTTGAATGTGTACGAGAAAAAAATTACGATGTATGAAAGTAGGAGAAAATTTCGAAAAGAGAATCGTATGTTTGAGTTATTCCGAGGTCGATTATATCGAGGGTTATCTGAGCGCGTTGAATCCGAGCATGTGGTTTATCGTGACGAAATTTCAGAATTTTGGTCTACAATGTGGAATAAAAATGATAAAGTAGTTACATATGATGAGTATTTGATACCTTTCGTGTCAGATACGCAACAGACCACGTTTCCTTCATTTGAAGAGTTTATAGATATCATCAATTGGCTGCCTAACTGGAAAGCCGCTGGAATTGATGGTATTTATAACTTTTACATCAAGAAACTTACGAGCCTTCATAAATATCTTTACGATATTGTAAAAGCCATATGTTTAGAAGGAACGCCTCAAGCCGATTGGTATTATTGTGGACTTACTTATCTGATACCTAAAGGTACACCAAAGACTGGCTCTGATTACAGACCAATAACTTGTATGTCAAACCTGTATAAACTGACTACAAAATGTGTCACTAAAGTGGTTCAGGTTGAGGTGGAAAGACGAGGATTACTTTCAGATAATCAGTTGGGAGCGGTTAGAGGAGTGCAAGGAGCGAAAGAACAGGCCTTATTGAATGTTGCCATTAATAAGGAATACGGAAACAATCTTAAGGCAACATGGATTAATGTCAAAAAAGCTTATGATTCAATAGATCATGCTTATTTGAGTCAATGTATTGAAACCTTGATTTACCTGATTGGATTCTGTTATTTATTAAGGTAATTATATCAAAATGGAAAATTGATATATCAATAGGGCCTGAAAAAATCATGAGCAAGAAGATTGATAGAGGGATTCTGCAAAGAGATAGTCTGTCACCGTTGTTGTTTGTATTGTGTATGGATCCATTGAGCCGAAAGCTTAATGAGAAATACACAAAAGTGACAATAAAGACAGATGCAGAATCCCACGCGACTAATCATCTCTTGTTTATTGATGATCTTAAGCTTCTTGCCGAAGATGGACAAACATTGGAAGAAATGACAGAGGAGGTTAAAAAGTTTATGAATAATATAGGATTGGAAATTAACAAAGAGAAGTCAGCCACTAATGATCCATGTTGTGAAGATACTGCTACTCTTCTTGAAGGAATAGGTGTTTATAAATACCTTGGAATTATAGAAGATAGCAGAGGAATTCCAACAAGTAAGTCGTTTGAGGAAGTACAGACCAAACTTATAGCACGAGTAGAAAGACTTTGTCGCACGAGATTAAATGCAAGAAATTTATTTCAAGCCATTAATCAACATGCAATTTCTTTACTAAACTATCATATAGGTGTACTCCAACTTGAACCGGCTGACTTCTCTAAGTTAGATGATGCGGTGCGTGCAGTGTTAGTAAAGAACAAAATACATCTACGCCCAGGATGCAAAGAATGTCTATACCTTCCACGTAAAGAACTTAGAAGAGGTTTACATAGTGTCGAGTTCAAAAGCGAACATATGCTTTTGCAACTCTTGGATTGTCTGGAAAAACATAAAGATACATCGACCAGAAGAGCAGCAATCCTAAAGGTTGAGAATAATAATAAAACCCACCTTTCACTAATTAAAAACTTTTTAAAAATAAAATACGGGTTGGAAGAGGAAGTCACAAAAAAGAAATTGGAAGAAGCTCAACTAGCTAACCTATATAACGAAATCAAAAACCGAAAACTACATTCAAAGTTATATAGCGCTAGAAATAACGAGCTGGTAAGTGTAAATGACTCCTCAAGATGGTTAAAGAAAGGAAGTGTAAGACCACGGGATGAAGCAGTGTTCTGTTATATCCAGGATAGAAATGTTTTCTGGGGTGCAGAAGGTATGTGTCAACACTGCAACCAGTCTAGGAAAACTGTTGATCACTTAGCAACGAGATGTGAAAAAATGCTTGGTCATGACTATACTAGACGACATAATGAAGTGGTACGATGTATACATTTACTCTTGCTGAATAAATATAAGTTTAAGTCTTCGAAACGAATTAGAAGCCACTCAGTTCAAGAAATTCTTGATAATGAGTATGCAGAGATAAGAGTGGACACCAGAATAAAAACTGATGTCAAGATTCGGTGTAACAGACCAGATATATTTATTTTAGACAAGAGACAGAATAGGATAACCCTCATTGAAGTAGGAATCACATCCCAAGACTCTCTTCAAATAGTTGAAACAGAGAAGCTTAGGAAGTATGACCTATTAGCAAATGAGTTAGGTCTTATTTATAAATGCAATGTAGAGATAATTCCTTATGTGATGACCTGGGACGGTATTGTGACAAAATACCATAAGACGTATGTTAAGAGACTGCAAATACCCATGAATGTAGAGGCATATATACAATCCATAGTACTCAAGAAGACAGTCGAAACAATTTCTTTTGATCGACGAAGAGGACTTGAGTCTGGACCAAATGCCGAGGAGAGCTGGGAGAGAGCATCATTAAGTGTTATCTTAGGAGCTGAGATGCATAAACAACCAATACCCCCTTTAAAGCAAGTAGACAACGAGGAAGATGATGTTAAAACGGAAAATACAAAAAATATTTTACCCCTTATTTTGGATGGCATAACCACAGCAAAGGAACCAACAACTAATACAAATGAAGAGTTGGAGTTGGAGGAAGAGATAGAAGTGGTTGAAATGGTGGAAAGAATTATTTAAAAAGAAAAATTTGTTAACCCAGAATTTTATTAAATAAAATATTTTCTTTGTCTGTAAAAATGTTAAAAAATCGTTTATTTAATTTAACCTTGCTCTATCTTTTTTTTTTAAATTTACATACAATTTTGTTAGAATATTGATTTGATTAAAAAAATAATTATTTTTCAAAAGAAATCAATTAGATAATACATTTTTTTAAAAAATAAAAATTACTTAAAACTACTAAATCTAGAGTATAAGAATCTCATTTATAATATTATTATTAAGATTTGCTACTTATAATAAATTAATGAAGAGTATAAGAATCTCACTTATAATATTATTATTAAGATTTGTTACTTATAATAAATTAATGAAGAGTATAAGAAATAATTTAATGATTTTTTTTACTCAATAAAAAAACCATTATAATTTTTGTAAAGCTATAAAATATATTCATTTATATCTGAAGACCTATAAAAATTGTTACTTGGAAAGCAATTTCTTCTTTAATTCAAGTGACGGATGTTAGATTGTTTTCATGTCATTAAAGTATATCTAGTTTTAACATTGATAAATTTTTCCCTTAAATCTCATCAAGTACCCCTGCGATACCTACATCATAAGCTTTTTATCTAAAAAGTGTGTGGAACCAATTTAATGGTTCGGAAATTGGCTACTGTTCATTAATTTTCGTTGTACGAAGTATTATTGCAGGTCGAAATCCACCTTGTGTGCCCTTTACTCAATTACTAACAGAATTTTCATTTAGTCTAAGCTTTCTAAAACTAAAAAATTTTCATTTAAAAAATATCTCGGAAACTTTCACGGATTCAACTAGACGTTGTAATTCCATCCAACTGGGATAACCTGCCAATTACCTTGACTAGAATTTAAAGTTCTATTTTTGCATCCCATAATCTATAAGTACTCTAACACGAGTGAACAAGGCAAGGTTTCCATGCTTTTACATATCAATTACCTAAATTTTCAGCCGTGTTTTCCAATCTAGTAACATAAAAAACTACATAGTAAAGTCTTTAGAAAAAATTTCATCAGTATGTAGATCAATTCCTTCATAGAAGAATTTCTATTAAACAACTAAAAATTTAGTTTGGTTTTTATTCCACTAAAAATTCAAACGATGATTTTAACAACAATTTCATTTGATTATTGCTAAGCAGCTAGTTTTTCAAAATCTTTATATTCCTTCAACTAAAGAATATAAATAAAGATATTTGTATAAAAAAACGATTTAATTTCATAATTACTTTAATTGATAAAGCGGGCGTAGCTTAACGGTAGAGCAGTAGACTTCGGATCTGAAGGCTGAGGGTTCAAATCCCTCCGTCCGTATTTTATACTAAACCAACTTGATGTAACAATGTAGTATTTTAAAGTTCGTAATTTTTTTATCCTTTTTCAAGTCCATTTATTTTTTAAAAAAATGTTTTAGAATTAAATATTCAATTATTAAACCATTTAATTTAAATTTATCTTTGCTATATATTTCTTTTTATATTAATAGTCGACTTAAAATATATTTTTTTATCGATTTTTTTTATTTATTTTTTTCATTTTTTGTAGTATTTTTTGTACAAAAAAATATTTTACAAAATTTTGTAAAAAAAAGTAACATTTTTTTTTAAAAAAACATGGAAGCCATATAAAATGAAAAAAATACGATTAAAAGAAATAAATGACTTAATTGCAGATGTAGAGAAATATACAATTGAAAATGTATCTGGTAGAGAAAGAATTAAACATTTGAGAAAGAAAATAGTTGAGTTGGGTGCTAAAGAAAAGAAATCTTTTATTCCATTTAAAAGAGGTTTAAAATTGTTAGAGAGAAAGAGAGAAAAGAGTAAAAAAGCAAGAATGGAAAAGAAAGGAATATTTTTTTAAGTTTTGTCACGATAAATTCCATGTATTTGGTATTATTAAGCTGATTTTCATAATAATTTTTTTAAAAATATAAATATCTGTAATGATTAAATAGCTAAATGTGAAAAAAATATTTTTTAACGAATATATATGAATTTTAAATAAATTACAATTAAGTTATTTTTTTCCTATTCTATATTCTATTCTCTTTATGATGCATATTTATGGTCTTTAATCAATCATAATTTCTAAAAACATTTTTTTTTTTAATTTGAATTATTTTTAAATTAATCTACTGTTTAAGCTTGTTTTCAAAAGTAATTTAAAACTGGTAGAACCGAAATTTTAGGAAGAAATAAGTGTTAGAAAATGATTTAAATATTGGATATAAATTTAGATTCAAATTAATCTTTATGTAATAAGCAAAGACAGTATTTAGACAAAATAGCATAAGGTGTATCTCAAAAATTACAAATAATGATGAATGTGGAACTATACATAAAATAGATAGTGCTTAAAAAACTAGTTGTATCTGTTTTTTAATCGAAAAATAGAACTAGATCCAGGAACAAATGAAGGCGTGATATTAAAAAAAACATCAATGTGGTTTGTAAGAATCAAAAGTACAGAAGTATAATTTATTCTTTATATAAAATTGTAGATAAGATGGTGTTTACTATGTGAAAATGAGTACGTAGACTATTTATAATGCAAATAACTTCAAATAAAAAAACTTAAAATAATTATAAATGAAGATCAAATTCAGAGAATAAAAATTTTTTGAAAAAAACCGAAAATATATAAAAGACAGCGAAAAATCGTTGGGAAATTGAATAAATATGTAAGCGTACATCACTCTTTAAAGTAAATTTTTTTTAAGAGGATACAAATATTTTATGTTTTCATATATTTGACACAATTTTAAGTGTAAAATAAATAACTATTCTTTATTCAATAGATCCTGTATATCTTTAGAAGATAAGCTTTTGCATGAAATTATGCTAGGGAGCACCAAAAATGTAAAAGAAATTTGAAATGTATCTAAACCTAGAACTGGTTTAATATCATAAGAGAATATTCTATTTTTCTTCTTTTAAAAATAATTGATTTGAATAAATAATATGACAATATGGTATTATTTGTCTTTTTAATATTGCTAATATCACACTTGGTACTTCTTTATTTCCTAAATATAATTCAAGATTACGAAAATCAGATATTTTTTTATCTCCATAGTTTATAGTCGTAAAACGATGATTTTAATATAAAAGCGATTTAATTTCTGTCACGATGTAAATATTTTCGACTAAAAAAGTTGCCTCAAAATGAAAAAGAAAAAAAATATGAATTACCAAGTTCATATACCATATACAGTAATTTATAATCAATTAATGACACTTATGTTAAAAATATTTTTGATATTAAAAACGGTAAGTCTTATTCGAAGGTGTGTACAAGAGAAAAATATTTTTGTTCGATGCGGTATAAGAAAAAGATTTTGGAAGAAAAGTAAAATTTTTATAAGATTTAGACCAAATTTAATGTTGAAATTTAGTTCATATGTCGATCGAATGGTGACTTTATAAGCCTTGTTCCAAGTTCTTCATATATTATATTTTTAGAAAATGATATACGAGCTAATTCAATTTCTTTAACATAATAGAATATTTCAAGAAAATTAAATATTTTAGTTTTGAGTATGAAACTATGAATATATAATTTTTTTAGTAATCTAAGCTTTGAAATAAAAAATATATCGATATCTGAAAATTCTATTTCCTGAATCTGTAATTCTTCTAAGAAATATATTTTATTCGAATCAAAAAGCTGTGAAAAAGCCAGTTCTGAAATCTTACAGCTGTTAAAAAATCTCAAACAACGAAGATTGGTATACTTTTCTAGTGCATACATATCCTCTCTGCCTATTTTAATTCCGTCCAAGTTTAAAAATCGCATGTCTTTAAAATTTCTCTCATAAAATATCTTGTGAAGTGTGCCTTCGGGATAGCCAAAGCCAAAATCAAATGTATAAAGATGTGATAATATCGAAAAATCCGGTATATCATCACCAGGGTTAAAACAAACCGAACAATCCAGTGCAGTTAAACTATTTAACTTAGGCATTTTTTGATTACATTTTGCAAGAAATGGGTTTATGTCTCCAGAAAAACAAATAAGTACCAGTGATTCTAAAGCAATCATATTACTTAAGAATTGCGAAAAATGATCTTGATCATCAGCCAATATATTTTTCAAATGAATGGCTTTGATTTTTGAATTTTCAGTAAAATTTATCTCGTTTTTAGATAAAATAATTGTACAACGTGTCATGATTAATGTTTTTAGCGATGAAAATAGCAAAATATTTGCTAAAAAATTCTCATATATTTTAGAATGAGTAATCCTGATCTCCGTTATGTTATTAAATACTTCGGATTCTCGCAAGCAAAAATCTTTAACATCTGTATCAGTAAATTCAAGTTTTATATTTTTGAATTTACTAGAATTAATAATGTAGAAAGATATTGCCAAATAACAATGAAATAATTCCATATAAGCAAATGTTTGGTATTGAAATTCTAAGTTTCTTAACATTTCTATTTTAGTTTTGTCTTGATAGAGTTCAAGCGAAATTCCTTTTTCTTCATCGTAAATAGGCATATTAGTATTGCCTACAAAAATATTAAACATATTCACATCATTATAAATTTCCTCAATAAATGTTGAAAATATATTATTAATCGGTGAATTCGAATCAGAATTGTGAAAATATGATATCAGCCCATCGGTTCTTAGGATATAATTTAGCTCACCAACATTAAGTGTCTTTAAAAACGAAATTTCATCTTTGATTGTAAATTTAGATTGAATAATATTTAAAATTTTTATATTTCTAAAATCGAAATTTTGGTGTATTTTTTCGACCAATAAATCTGTATCTGAACATCTAAAAAAGAATATTTCATCAATATTTTGAAATAGAGTTAAAGTAAATAAACTTTCAAGTTCAGCTGTATAGGATATATATGATAAAAATAAACACCTGAATCTGTTAACACAAAGAATAAAATTTAGAATCTCATCAAATTTTTTGTAATTTTGGAGGATTAGTAGAATTTCTTCTATAATTTCCAGATCTAAATACAAAAAATCTTCGTTCAAATTTATGAACTCAAATTTAAAATTTTTTGTTAGAATAACTGCTTCGGAAATATTTTTCAGTTTACTTCGTGTTTTTTCAGTTATCATATACAATTTAAACAGTTCGCAGATAACCATCTTTGATATAAAAGATTTGAATTTATATTCAGTTTCTATAAATGAAATCTGTTTGGACCTCTTAAATGCCAATGGATTTAAAACCAATGAAACCAATACCAATCTAATCAAATAAAGGAATGGCTCATTTATTTTAAATTTAAATATATTCAATATTTTAAGAATCAGAAGATAGTTATTCCTGTTCATATTATCAATAGAACATGGAAAACTCATTACTACATAATAAAAATAGTTGAATGATTCATAACTTAAATATTCGTTATAAATATAAATTTCGTATTGATTAATTTGTTCTTCAATTAGAAATTCTAATAAAAAAATATTCAAATCAATTATTTTTGTTCTCAAAATCTTTCTGTTGGAAAAGAAATCTGATGTTAAATATTTTTCACTTTCATAGATATGAGATGTATCAGAATTATTTACGCGTAAACTATTGTCTAAAGCTTCATAAAAATGTATTAAAATTGTATTTTGTGTTAATATTTCCTTTATTGCATGCAAAATAATTAAATGTATTAGATAAATTTTTGAAATTTTAATAATTACCTTCAAGTGCACGCAATGTATCATATGTTAAGGAGTATTTTTAAGTAAATATATTGTTTTATTATATTTTATGAAAATTTCTTGATTAAATTAATATTTATATTAAAAGAAACAATGAGACTTTTTCTAAATCTTATACTGAAAAGAAATGATAAAAATGTTTTTCGTATTTAATTTTTTGTTTTAATCTAAAAGTTCTTTGAAAGTTTTTTTTAAATGATACTAATTAATGTCGTATATTTAGCTTACTATGAAGCTATTTATGACATTTTAAACAAAAGGAAGAACAAAAGTATCCCAATTGAGCTAGATTGAAGCTAGTAACATAGTTACAGCACCTCTACTATCTTCTCAAAATTTGTAAAAAAACAGAAAACATAACGGTCAAATGTATTAAAAAAGTGCGTGTTCTGGTAAAAGATGAAACCTGGAAGTGAATATAACAAAAATCAAGGTATTTTATGTTATCTTTTACATATGCATTTTCTTGTTGGTAATAGTGTCCATTAAAATAAATTAAAAAAATAGAATATAAGCTTAAGAAATCATTTGTGTTATTTTTATCCATGAATAACCCAGATTTTATACAATAAAATTCTAGGTTAAAGATTTTACCTCCTTAATATATTATTTTTCCATCT